GAACACCGTGCTGGAAGAACCACTGCTGTCTTCAGAGCTGTCAGGCAGGGAGGTTTAAATCTGCAGAAGCTGTCTCCTGCCTTTTGTTCAGCTATGCCCTGCCCCCAGAGGCGGAATATAGAGAGGCAGTAGGCCTTGCTGAGCTGCGGTGGGCTCTGCCCAGTTCGAACTTCCCTGCTGCTTTGTTTACACTGTGAACATAGAACCGTCTACTCAAGCCTCAGCAGTGGCGGATGCCCCTCTCCCCGCCAAGCTCCAGCATCCCAGATTGATCTCAGACTGCTGTGCTAGCAGCGAGCAAGCCTCCATGGGCATGGGACCTGCCTAGTCAGGCTCGGGAGGGAATCTCCTGGTCTGCTGCTTGCCGTGACCCTGGGAAAAGTGCAGTATTTGGGCAGAAGTGTACTGTTCCTCCAGGTACAGTCACTCACAGCTTCCCTTGACTAGGAAAGGGAAATCCTCCAACCCCTTGCACTTCCCGGGTGAGGTGATGCCCTGCCCTGCTTTGGCTCACCATCTATGGGCTGCACCCACTGTCCAACCAGTCCCAAAGAGATGAACCAGGTACCTCAGCTGGAAATGCAGAAATCACCTGTCTTCTGCATTGATCTCACTGGGAGCTGTAGACTGAAGCTGTTCCTATTCGGCCATCTTGGAAGTGATGTATCTCAAACTTTTAACCAGTTCTTTCCAGAAGAAAAATTTGAAACATTAAGGGAAAACTGTTGGGTAAAAGATCCATCTGCTTTTCGAAACCCTGAATCAATAATTGAGCTAAACTTGGTGCCTGAAGAAGAGAATGAATTAGTGCAGCTTAGTTCTTCATATACATTAAAGAATGATTATGAGACCTTAAGTTTATCAGCATTTTGGATTAAGGTAAAGGACGACTTTCCATTGTTAAGTCAAAAGAGTGTCCTGCTATTACTACCACTCACAACAACTAGTTAGTGTGAACTAGGGTTTTCTATCTTAACCCAGTTAAAAACAAAGGAAAGAAATGGGCTGAATGGTGCAGCAGCTATGCAGGTAGAATTATTTTCCTATGTTCCAGACTGGAATGAACTTATGAACAGGCAAGCACACCCATCATAATAAATAAAATCTTACCTAAAAAAAGATGTGCAAATGGCTAATAGGTATATGAAAATCTGCTCAACATCACCTATTATAAGGGAAGTGCAAGTCACTTGAATGGGAGAAGCCATTTGCAAAGTGCTCATCCTAAGGGGACTAATAGGTATTCTATACAAGAATAACAATTCAACTATAGAAAACCAAACAATCCCACTAAAAATGGACAATATTTTTCAAAAGAAGACATACAAATGACCAATAGTATATGAAAAATGCTCAACACTAATTATCAGGGATTGTAAATCAAAACCACAATGAGATATTATCTCATCACAGAATGTTTATTATTAAAAAGACAGATACACACACACTCACACAGACACACACACACACACCCCCAGATGCTGGTGAGGGTGCAGAGAAAAGGGTACTCTTAGACATGGTGGGAATGTAAAATAGTGCAACCATTATGGAAAACAGTATGGATATTTCTCAGAAAAACTAAAACTAGAACTACCACATGATGCAGCAATCCCACTACAGGGTATCTATCCAAAAGAAATGAAATTATTGTTTCAAAGGGATACCTTTGACTCCCAGGTTTATCACAATGCTATTCCCAGTAGCACAGATATGGAATCAACCTAAGTGTTCATCAATGACTGACTGGAAAAGAAAAATGGTGTGTGTGTGTGTGTGTGTGTGTGTGTGCATGCACGCATGCATATGTATGTGTTTATACGCACTATTTGTTTTCTGGATACACACCTACACCCACACTCATACGTACCCACATCCACACACATACCCATACACATATGGACTCGCACTGGCTTCTTGGCTCCTCAGCTTGCAGATGGCCTAGTGTGGGACTTCATCCCGTGACTGTGTGAGTCAGTTCTCCTAATAAACTCACTTTCATGTACACATATATCCTATTATTTCTGTTCCTTTAGATAACCCTGACTAATGCAGGATATAAAGCTGAATTGTTAGTCATGTATTTCCGATTCGTTGGCTAATGCTATATACATACACTATTCAGCCAGTAAAAAGAGTGGAATCCTTTTCCAGCAACATGGATGGAACTGGGTGTCATTATGATAAGTGACATAAGGGAGGCACAAAAAGATAAATGCCACATGTTCTCACTCAAATGTGGGAGCTAAAAACTGGATCTCATGGACATCAAGAATAGGATAGATATCAGGAACTGGGAAAGGGAGGTGAAGAGAGGTTGTTTATGGATACAAACATGCAGTTAGATTGAAGAAATCATCCTAATGTTTGATAGCAGACTAGGATGACCATATGTAGCAATACTATTAAGTATATTGCAAAGTAACTAGAAGAGAAGACTGGAAATGATAACAACACCTAAAAATGATAAACATGCATACATGCATGGTGATGGATATCCCAAATTACCCTGGCTTGATTATTACTCATTCCATACATTGTCACAATGTGTCAATAAAAAAACCTAAAATGTTGATTTGACACATAATAAAGCTTACTTGTCAGTGAAAAGATTAAACTCCCATAAAAAAATTATCTTCTGCAAACAAGAGAATTTGACTTCTTCCTTTCCAATTTGGATGCCCTTGATTTGCTTCTCTTGCCTAATTGCTCTGACCGGGACTTTCGATATTACGTTGCATAAACGTGGTAAAAGTGGGCATCCTTGTTTGAGTCAGTGGACTGGGAGAGGCAGACCCACCCTTAGTCTGGGGGGACACCATCGTATCAGCTGCCAGTGCAGCTAGAATAAAGCAGGCAGAAGAAGAGGGAAAGGGCAGACTTGCTGAGTCTTCTGACCTTCGTCTTTCCACCCTGCTGGATACTTCCTGCCCTCAAACATCCGACTTCAAGCTCTTCAGCTTTTGAACTCTTGGACTTACACCAGTGATTTGCCAGGGGTTCTCAGGCTTTTGGCCACAGACTGAAGGCTGCATGGTCGGCTTCCCTACTTTTGGGGTTTTGGGACTCACACTGGCTTCTTGGCTCCTCAGCTTGCAGATGGCCTAGTGTGGGACTTCATCCCGTGACTGTGTGAGTCAGTTCTCCTAATAAACTCACTTTCATGTACACATATATCCTATTATTTCTGTTCCTTTAGATAACCCTGACTAATGCAGGATATAAAGCTGAATTGTTAGTCATGTATTTCTGATTCGTTGGCTAATGCTATTTATTCCATAATTTGGTGTTTCCTCTAAGAACGTACAATGCTGAAATTGTTACACATTAGATGTTATACATACTAAAGTCTACTTTTGAATTTCTTTGTTTTGTAAATGCATCTGCTAACAATGTTATGAATATTACAACTTACGATAAAGCTCTGTGTATCTACCCCACTTACCTGACAGTCACATTTTCACTCCCTGATCTTCCTTTTTCTGAACCAAATGTCTACTATTAATTCCTAGATAAATTTGAATTTATTTTTCAAGTTTTTGTAAAAGTATCAGATTTTTCATTGTACTTATCCCACCAGTTACTCTATCAAATAATTGAAGAAGAAACATTGTGTTTAATATCATTCAATCTTCCTATCCAGAAATTTGCTAGGGACCTGCAACTATATAGTCTACTATGATTTATTTTAAAGTGTTATGTAATTTTCTTCAAACTTTTTCTATGATTATTTGTAGATAGCTTATATTTATTTAGTATCACAATTGTGAAGTAAATCTACTTATTCACTATATCTTGTTATTTATTTTAATTTCTTTCTTTCTTTCTTTCTTTTTTTTTGAGACAGCATCTCGCTCTGTCACCAGGCTGGAGTGCAGTGACCCAATCTTGGCTCATTGCAATTTCTGCCTCCCGGGTTCAAGTGATTCTCCTGCCTCAGTCTCCCAAGTAGCTGGAATTAAAGGCATGTGCCACTATGCCCAGCTAAGTTTTGTATTTTTTTTTTAGTAGAGACAGGGTTTCACCATGTTGGCCAGGGTGGTCTCGATCTCCTGACCTTGTGATCCGCCCGCCTCAGCCTCCCAAAGTGCTGGGATTACAGGCGTGAGCCACCGCGCCCAGCCCTGTTATTTATTTTCTAGATTTTGCTAGTGTCTAGGAACAGTCCTGATTGTTCCCTTCATTTGGCTCATTGATCAGCAGTCAGCTCCCGGAATTCCTTAAAACTGTGTTACTTCCATGCTGGGACCCTCCTGCTTTGGTTCTCTGGAGTCTTTTCTCCTGGAACAAACACAAAGAAACCAACAAACAAAAAATCACAAAAATGAAAAGACATGGACTAAGCATGTAAGTCCTGCATTCTTTAGGGCATGTTGATTCTTTGTCCATTAGCTTTGGTAAAAACCATATCTCTGTCCCCAAGGGACTGAGTGAACCTTGTGAAGTAAAAGATGAAGCTCCCAGATTAGGATCTGGGAAGGCAGCTTGGATACCTTCTACTTGTCATCCTTGGACACCTGGTGCAAGCTTGTCCAGCCCATGGCCCACAGGTTGCTTGTGGCCCAGGATGGCTTCGAACGTGGCCCAACACAAATTTGTAAACTTTCTTAAAACATTATGAGATATTTTTGTGATTTTTTTTTAACTCATCAGATATTATTAGTGTTAGCGTATTTTATGTGTGGCCCAAGACAATTCTTATTCCATTGTAGCCCAGGGAAGCCAAAAGATTGGCTATCCCTGCATCTGCAGACTCTCCCACAGATTCTTCAGTGGCCTAGTAGTCAGGCCTGTAAGCACCGGCAGTCTCAGACAGCTTACAGACACCCATTGGCTTGCAGGTTCCCCAGGGATGAAAATCTGGTGTTTGGATCTCTGCATGTTTGTAAAATACCTTCAAGAATGTGCATATCACACTAGGGCAGGGAGGGAAGAGGAGACCTAATTTTGGCTTCTTCACTACGAACCTTTGACAAGCTGGGCAGAGCTGATCTGTGTGATCTGGAGAGCCTCAGGGGATGTCTGAGGTCACTGTGGGAAGGCATGAGGCTGTACCTAGACCTAAGGCACTGATTACATGGGAAAATCCTCAGTCTACGCCTTTTGGGAGGACAGTGGCCCTAAATGGTATCTTGGCTTCCTCAGCACAGACCTATAGCACACAGATCCTCTGAGGGGCAACTGGGCTGTTTACTCACTCATTTTTCTCATCCTGGATGGTGTCAAACAGAGGCTTGTTTCTGGTTTCAGGAAGGAGGAGGAAAGCAAAGCCGGAGATGAAGGGGAAGACTCCATAGATGATCCAGGGCAGGGGTGGAGAATATACACTCACGATGATCATGAGGGGAGCCAGGGCTCCTGCAATATTAGCAAAGGTTGCATTGATTCCCATAGCTCTTGCCCTTTGAGTGGAAACAGCAATACAAGAATATCTGTTAAAAATCCACACAGGCAATTTGTGATTTATCATTTTGCTCTCATTATGGGGAAACATTTAGACATACAGAGGTGACGAAATACTCCTGTGTTTGAAATTTTCACTTTTATTTGCTGGCAATTAATTTTTCAGGTCACAAGTGCATTAGATGCATTTTCATCATCTAGGAAATACTGCTATCCTTTAGCACCAACCTCTTAGGTGACTCAGAAGGTTATGTGGGATGCTATAATACATCAAAGGACTTAACACAGTGGCGAAAAGTCAGCTTGAGATAAAGTTGGTCTATAATTATTTGTGTTTATGACTGTTACAATTTATTTTCTTAACTAACCAGTCTTAGATTTCTTCCCGCAAAAAGTGTCAATTATCTGAGAAAGGTCCATGTTGAACCTAACAGAGCATACATAAGGTTTTGTACCTGATTACGGTGGGAATTACTTCATTTCCATGGGCAAAAGCAAGGGTATTGGCAAGGGAAGACGCTCCTAAGCCCAGCGTTGCCAAAACCTCACGCAGCGTCTGCATTTCTGGAGAAAGGAAGAACACAAGGCCTTAGGAAATTTCAGCTGAAGGAATCAGCATCCCCCAAGCTAGAAGTGAAAAGGACTGTATTGGAGGTGTTCGCAAGGTTAAAATGTACTGTCGGGAAACTGCATAGGGGCAAAGAATGTGCAGTGGCTGATAGCTGAGAAACGTGATTTATCTTCACCTTGTGGCTTAAACAGTGAATAAAAAGGATCTGAGCTATTACTTCACTTCTCACTATATATCAGAGATACGCCATAGCAAGAGAGAGGCATGTAAGTTGAGCTGAATGCTTTTTCGTTTATTCCGTCCAGGGACTCCTCTGCCTAGCTGGTAGAACTGTCATGTGTGCAATACTTGGGAGTGTAAGACCCATCCATGTTCTCCTGGCCTTTAAAACCTAGGTACATACACAGTATTGACATGGGGCTAGGGTTGCAGAAGAGAGTCATAAAAGATCAGGAGTTCTATGTTAGAAGAGAAGCTAGAGAGTATCAGTGTTTTAAGGATCAGGAATAAGGACCTCAAAAAGAGGAAAAAAGTCAGACTTTAGAAAGCATTGAAGGGAAGTTTCAGAGCCTTGTTTCTATCCAGCTGAAGAAATCCTGTAATAGCCTCATGACACTGGAGGGTTCTGTTGCTTTGTAGCACACTTGGATCATTGCTGGCATTCAAGAAGGGGAGTGGAGCACACCAATCTGGGATCCTGTTAAATACATTACTACACTAAGAGTTAGGTGAAGACTGGTGGCCACCTGGGTTCCCTTACTTATTACATATGATCAATTAAATTCTTAAAATAGAATCTACAAGAGGCTATTAACTGACAATTTCTTCATTTCTACTGCACAGTTCTTTACATAAAGATGGGGCACTTTTGTTCCCTTGAAGTCAAGATGACTCCCCTAAACCAGGATTGTAGTTAGGGTGACCTAATACAAGGCCCACAAGTAGATACATGGGAATTGGGATACTTTGTCACTGAAGCTGTAGTAATAAGAAAGAGCCCGGACAGAGGAAGTAGTAGTATTATGTCCTCATGTTGGGAAACAATGACAAGGCCTATACCTCAATACACATTTAAAGTTTGATTGGCCAAAGAGTAAGTAAGTGATTGCTGTTGTAGAGAAACCGTCAGAAATAAATGGCTTCATTTTCTTAGTATTTCTTGAATATAATGAGGACAACCATATAATAGAGCCAACCTTTACTCATCTTTGACTCGTTTTCCAGCAACTTCTGGCAGACTGTGTCCCAAATCCCCAGATTGTTGTCAGGAAATCCTGAGAACCCAAATCTCCCTTTCCTTCTGGCTTCAGATAGGTGTGACCAGTACAATCCCTGAGAAAAGAGAGAAAGGCATTTTCTTTCTTCCACCTGTGATCATTTCTCACCTTGTGGCACAAGTATGATGGCCAGAAGGCAGATTGCCAGGAGGAACATGAGAAGCATCTGGCTTGCTCGACGGTTCATGTATTTCAGTGCCCAAGGTGCAACACAATTGGCCAAGAGGATGACTGCACCAAAGAGAGTCTGCAACAGGAAAGCATTATTCCCCAGATGCTGGATGTTGAGATTAAGGCCAAAATAGGCCATGAAGTTTGCAAATCTGTGGTGATTAAAAAAGGAAAGGCACATATTATAATCCGTGCAGCCTCCATCCTACAAATGAGAATAATATTGGCCCAGGCAGCTAGGGCTTGTTAAAGTATAAAGGCTGGGTCTATTGTGTGGAATATTTTCTTGCAATGTGATTTTTAAAAATCTATTAAGTGACAATGATAACATTATGGAACTCTTTGTGAAGAAGCTATTAATACTAGACAAGAGGCTGGAAGTTAGACGCTTAAATATGTTCAGAAAGGGTTACAGACTGCGTCTTATGAAGCATGATAATTTCTGAGGAGTTGTCAAAGGTACCTTTGGTAGCTTCTATTTGATAAAAATGAGACAAAAGTCTTATACTACCTACAAAGATGATGACTAAAGGTGTGGGAAAAGAAGAGAGTTCCATTTGAAAATGCTGCCACCTTCCTCCGCAAAAGCACACCATGTCTCAAACTCATATTTCAACCACCAAGTTCTGTCTCTCAAAGCTAAAATAAGTGTCAAAGAGAACTGAAGATATCACAATATGTTGAGTTTTAAATTACCATAAAATGATGGTAAGATGATGATGGTCATAATTGTCATTAATTTTTTGGAAGACAGCAAGTGTTTTATGGATGATTAAACTATAGGGCCTGGGATTTATTTATTTATTTATTATAACTAATTGCTTTTATTAGTATTCCAAAGCCAATTTGCTCACATGACAACAAAAACCACTACAAGACAATTCACTATCCTGAGGGCCATAAAATTAAAAGTAAAAATTTACAGATATTAGTCAAACTCCCAGTGAGTACCTCAGCAGCTGAAATGTCCATTTACCTCCATTACAATCAGAAATGTCACTAAAATGTACAACTTATTGAGTGACAGATTGTATATCCACAGCATTCACTGTGTAGGTGGTCCTGTGTAGTAAATCCAGAATGGAACAAGGAAACCTATTTTTATATTACTTATGTTTAATGGCATATAACCTCGTGATGGTTTTATTAGCATAGAAAAGAGTCAATAATTTTTATTATGTATTCAGTATACATATGTATCTTATTGGAGGGAATTCTTACGATTTTATGTTGTCTCATCATTCATTTTGATTACAAGTTTAACTTTCTCACACCACAGCAGGGCTTAGTCACCCTTGACACAGTTTCTAGTTCTTACACCACTTCCAAATGGCTCAAGCCAGACGCCAGAGATAACTTAGAGGCATCTCTCCTGGCTAGCTGACTGGGTTCCCTGCTTTCCTGTTGCTTCCTTTGAATGAACTATTCAGGCATTTGCCTGCAAACTTTAAGTGACCCACACCTGATTTCCTTACATAAACTGCTAGTTGCCATGTATTCCTTTTATTATTATCATTATTATTGTTATTATTTCAATAGCTTTTGGGGAACAGGTGGTGTTTGGTTACACGGATAAGTTCTTTAGTGGTGATTTCCGAGATTTTGGTCTCTCTGCCAGTTTCTTCATTTCCACCTCATCTGACCCGGGGACAGAACACTGCCCTCCCAATTCATTATTCTCTCCTTTCCCAGGATCTGCAAGTAGACGGCTTTGAATTTGTTTCCTCTTGCGGTGGTGTACTGAATTTACGCTTTCTGTCTGAAAAATTAGGGGCTGTTTCAGGCTGGGTTTTCCCTAGGACTGCAGTGAGAACACAGTGTCAGGCAACCAGAGCTAGAGCAGTGGTCAGGCAGACATAAACTGGACATGGGTCAGAGAAGAGCCCCAAGGGCATCTGCCAGTATAAACAAGTTTCCTGTGTGAAGGTTCCCCTGGTCACGGGTCTAACAACTAGGCATCAGGCCATCCACTGAAGGAAAAGTGTTGTGTGAACACTGTAAACCCCTACATCCAGCTCCCATTCCTTTCCTTTTTAGGGCAGGGTTTTTAACCACTCTGGTACTGAAATCTGAATTTAGCTGGGGCTCTCAAAACACTTATTTATTTTTAAAATATGTGATAAAAATACGTAAACATGAGGATTTACCTACTTAACACATATTTAGGTATAGTCCAGTATTAACTGTAAGCAAATGTTGAACGAGCAGATTTCCGAGACATTTGCATCTTGCATAACTGATACTTTATGCCTTTAAATGACAACTCCCTATTCCCCTCTGCCCCGTCCAGAAAACCACCATTCTACTTTCTGCTTTATTGCGTTGACTTTTTTAGATATCTCATATAAGTGAAATCAGACAGTGTTTGTTCTTCTGTGCTAGCCCAAGGTTCATAGCCGTTGGGTATGACCTTTTTCTTTCTTTTTTGAGGCTAATATTCCATTATATGTATATAACATAGTTTGCTTATTCATTCATATGTAAATAATAGTTAAGTTGCTTCCATATTTTGGCAATTGTGAATAATGCTGCAATGAACATATGGGAGTGCAAATATCTCTTCCAAATACTGATTTCAATTCTTTTTTTGAAGAATTGAGATCCCATAAGTGAGAATACCGAATCATATGGTAGTTCTAACCTCCATAGTATCTTCATGGTGGGCGTAGCATTTTATATGGCCACGAACAGTATACAAGGGTTCCAATTTCCCCACATCCTTTGAACACTTCTTATTTCTTGTTTATTTATTTATTTTTGATAATGATAATCCTAATAGGTATAAGATACTATTTCATTTTTTATGTGTTTAATTCTCCATAAAACACTTCATATTTTATATCCTTTTCTAATCTTTTTATCTCTTTTTCTTCCCTAATTGCTCTTGTTAGGATTTCAAGTACTATACTGAATAGAAGTGGTGAGAGTAGAATCCTTATCTTGTTCTTGATCTTAAAGGAAGAGTTTTCAGTTTTTTATTGTTGAGTATAATATTAGTACTAGACTTTTCATATTAGTCATTTATCAGTGAGCTTTATACGTTCCTATGTTCTCATGCTGCTCTTTAGTCCCATTTTTTAAAGTTCAAGGTTTCCCTTTGGAAATAATAACGGAGGTAGGGTGCTGACAGACTCACTCAACTTTTGTTTGTGTGGGAAAGTATTTCTTTTCGTTATTGAGGGATGGTGTGCAAGATACATTAATTTTTGTTAGCATTTTATTTTTTCATCTCTCTGGACATATCATCCCACTCTCTGTTGGCCTACAAGGTTTCTGCAGAAACCTGCCATCCCCCAATTGTCTTATGGAGGACGTTCTCTTAGTATGCAACAAGTTACTTTATCTTGCTGCTTTCAAAATTCTCTATTGTCTTTGATAATGTAATTAGAAAATGTATTAATATGGAATTCTTTTTTACTTTTATATATTTATTTGGTTTATAGTCTTCTGACTATATTAATTTCACTTAATAGTCTGAAATTCTTAGAATCTGTCCATTTATCCAATTGTCAATTATAAGTCATTGACTTTTTATAACAATCTTTTGTATTGATATATTTTGGAAAGTGTTTTTCTTCTCCTTAAATCTTCCTTCAGGGAAGCTGAAACATAAGTTGATGAGCATGTACATGTGTGAACTTCAAAAAATGGTGAAATGTGAGCAAACATACAAATAGTCTAAAAATGTTAGTGTTTATGGGAATTTTAGTGTACTTAACTTCCAAAATAATTACATATTGAGTGAAGACAGTATAGTTTAAAAGGAAAGTAATATGGTATAATGGCTATAAGTGCAACATTTAATGTCAGATTAGTGTTCAAGTTCTGTATGTACTATTTACTAATTATGTGATCTTTTAAAACATAATTTTACATTTAGTTAAAAAACTTTATTATTATTTTTTTCAACTTTCATTTTAGGTTTGGGGTACACATGTAGGTTTGTTAACATGGGTAAATGTCGCAGTGGAGCCCAAATAGCCAAATCAATCCTAAGCAAAAGGAACAGAGTGAGAGGCATCACACTACCTGATTTCAAACTACACAACAAAGCTACAGTATTGAAAACAGCATGATACTGGCACAAGAGCAGATACATAGACCAATGCAACACATTAATTAGATAACCCAGAAATAAAGCCACATACCTACAACTGCCTGATCTTCAACAAAGCTGAAAAAAGTAAGCAATGGGGAAAGACTCCCTATTCAATAAACGGTGCTTGGATAACTGGCTAGTCATAGGCAAAATTTTGAAACTAGACCCCTTCCTTTGACCATATACAAAATTCAACTCAAGATGGATTAAAGACTTAAATGTAAGATGTAAAAGTGTTAAAAACACAGAAGAAAAGAGGAAATACCACGCTGGACATCAGTCCTGGCAAAGATTTTTTGATAAAGACTCCAAAAGCAATTGCAACAAAACCAAAAATTGAAAAGTGGGAACTAATTAAACCAAGGAGCGTCTGAACAGCAAAGGAAGCTAACACCAGAGTAAACAGATAACCTACAGAATGGGAAGAAATATTTGCAGGTTATGCATTTGACAAAGGTCTAATGTTTGGAATCTATAAGGGACTCAAATAAAGCAACAATCAAAAAACAAACAAACAAATGAACAAACAAACCCATTAAAAATGGGCAAAGGGTATGAACTGACAGTTTTCCAGAGAAGACATACACATGGCCAACAAGCATATAAAAAAACTTATAATAGCATTAATCATTTGAGAAATACAAATCAAAACAATAATGAGATAGCGTCTCACACCAGTCAGAATGGCTGTTATTAAAAAAAAATTAACATGCTGTTGAGGTTGTTCGAGAAAAGGGAACACTAATAAACTGCTGGTGGGAATGCAAATTAGCTCAGCTACCCCAGCTTTGTTCTTTTTGCTTAGGATTTCTTTGGCTTTATGGGTCTTTTTTGATTTTGTGTAAATTTTAGGACTAAAAAAAATTCTGTGAAGAATGTCGTTGGTATTTTGATAGAGATTGCATTGAATCTGTAGATTGCTTTGGGTAATAGGGACATTTTAACAATATTGATTCTTCTAATCCATGCACACAGGATGTCTATTTTTTGTATCAGCTTCAATTTGTTTCATCAATGTTTTATTGTTTTCATTGTAGAAATCTTTCATTTCTTTGGTGTAGTTTATTACTGGGTATTTTACTTCTTGTAACAAATTGCAAATGAGATTGCTTTCTTAATTTGTTTTTCAGATTGCTCTTTATTGAAATATAGTTATGTTAATTATGTTTTATGTTGATTTTGTATCCTGCAACTTTACTGAATTTTTTGTTTATTCAGATAGATTTTTGAGTGAGTCTTTAGGTTTTTGTAAATATAAAATCATATCATATGTAAATGAGGACATTTTGATTTCTTCCTTTCCAATATGGATTCCCTTTATTTTTTTCTCTCGCCTAGTTGCTCTGGGTAGGACTTCCACTACTATATTGAGTAAAAGTGGTGAAAGTGGGCATACTTGTCTTTTACATGATCTTAGAAGTAGAGCTTTCATTTTTTTCCCCATTCTCTATGATGCTAGCTGTGGATTCATTACATGTTATCCTATTGTTTTGAGGTATTTTCCTTTTATGCTCAGTTTGTTGAGAACTTTTATCATAAAGAGAATTTGAATTTTATCAGTTGCTTTTGGCATCTGTTGAAATGATTATATAACATTGATTCTACTAATGTTATGTTTTATGTTTATGGACTTGCCTCTGCAGAACCATTCCTGCATCCCTGGGATGAATCACACTTGATAGTGATGAATGATCTCTTTAATGTGTTTTAAAATTTTGTTTGCTACTATTTTGTAGAGGATTTTTACACCTATGTTCATCAGTGATGTTTTCTTTTTTGTGTGTGTTTGTTTCTGGTTTTGGCATCAGGGTAATGCTGGCCTTGTGAAATGAGTTTGAAAGTATTCCCCCCTCCTTTATTTTCTCAAATAGTTTGAGTACAATTGGTATGAGTTCTTTAAATGTTTGGTAGAATTCAGTTGTTCTGAAGCTATCAGGTTCTAGATTGTTCTTTGATGGGGGACTTTTTATTACTGCTGGTATCTTGCTGCTGGTTATTGCTCTGTTCATGGTTTGTATTTCTTAATGTGTCAACTTGGTTCAATGTTCTATGTGTCACAAAAAATTTATCCACCTATTCTAGGATTTTCCATTTATTGGCATAAAATTGCTCATAATAGCCTCTAATGATCCATTGAATTTCTGTTCTGTCAGTTGTAATGTCTCTTTTTTATCATCAATTTGATTTATTTTTGTTTCCTCTATTTTTTCTTAGCTTGCATAAAGGTTTGTTGATGTTGTTTATTTTTCACAAAACAACTTTTGACTTTTGTATTTTTTGTGTCAATTTCATTTATTTCTTGCACTGATCTTTATTATTTCTTTCCTGCTACTAATTTTGGGTCTCATTTGTTATTTTAGTTCTACTTCTTTAAGGTGCATCCTAGGCTATTTGAAGTCTTTCTACTGTTTTGAGGTAGGTGTTTATTTCTGTAAACATACCTGTTACTGCTTC